GGAGCCACGCCCACGAAGGCGTACAGCTGACTGTGGGGCAGCGGCCACTGAATGCAAGCTACCCCCATCCCCCTGCCAGCTGGCCTGCACATGGCAGCCGCCACCACAACTCCACTGCTGCGCCCACTAAGCTGTGCGGCCGGCCGCAGAAAGGCAACATGGGGCGTGGTGGCCACCATGTGCGAACCCCACCCCGGCCAGCCAGTGCGTGTGTGGCCCACAGAGGGGCACCCCTGCCCTCACCCCTGCTCCTGGGAGCAGGCTGAGGTGGGGGGCAGAGAGGTGCTGTGGTGCCCTTCCCTCTCTTCCTCCCCCTCCCGGCAGGGCTGGGAGTTTCCTGCCCTTTGTGCAATTGCAGCTTGGAACTGTGCCAGCCTGCAAGAGCTCTTTGCAAAAGCAGACAATCCACAGATTTCTCTGCTAAGAGGAAATCGGTGTTTTCTCTGATAAGACAGGGAATCCGTGGTTTTCTCTGTTTTTCTGTGGGAAACGGAAAATCCAGATTCCTGATAATGACCTACCCAATTTGCAGCGAGAGAGAGCAATTTTTGCAGCTTGGTCATGGGCCTGAAGAGCCAATTTCACAGTCATTTTGCAGTAGTCCCATCCCTTGAGACTGTTTGGCCGAGGCACGAGGGGGCAGCTGCCATTATTGCAGCTCTCCTGTTTGTGCTGCTTTGCCAGCTGGTGCCTTCCCCTCCCAGGCAGGCTGCAAGGCTGGGCCACCACAGCAGCAACTGCTGCCTTCAATGGGGGAGCTAGCATTTTATTTTTAAGCTTTTGGGTTTTTTGCTTGAATTCCTGGGAAAAAAAATCACTGCTAACGCCACTTTTTGCAGCAATCGTGGAGATCGCCATTTTTTGTCATTTTCACTAAAATTGCAAAACTGATTTAAGTAGGTTCTAGTTATACGATTAAAGAGATCTGGCATTACATAAACAGTGTTTATGTAATAAACTGTATGAGATTGATTCTGGTGAGTCCAGTACATTAACTATTCAATTCTTCAGACTGGAGAGTAGCTATATTAATAAGAGTATATTAAGCAGATAATGAAGACATTTTGGCTATAGTTAACTACTGTTAGTTAAAATCTAAAATTAGAAGCTAAGATAAGAGGTAAAATATTTATCTTGCCATATAAAGACTGATTGTAAGTTTAAAATTACAGTAATTGTTATTTTGCTAAATAAAAGTAAATTAGATTGCTACTTTTTATTCACGTTGAACACTACCTCAATTTTACATATAGTTTTACTACTGAATTTGGCCTCTAGTCTGTGCTAGAGGGACCTCAGATAATGAAAGGCAATCTAGGAGCACAGAAGCACTACTTCCCTTCCCCCACTCTTTACAGGCCTCAATGCAAGGTGCTGTGTTGGCTCCTTAAGTTATCCACAGTATCAGCAGCAGCACTTGGTAGCGGAAATAAGAAATCCTATTTGATGCCCTTAATTAGTTTCCCACTGATATTGCATGTGGTTTTATTTAAGAGTGACGGTGTGCAGCAGACAAACTACCTCGCTCAACGCTACTGTCATGAAGCAATGAAAGAGATCAGTAAACTGCGACCATCCCCTGAAAGAGATGCCCTCATTCAGCTCACAGAAATGGTACTTACCAGAGACAAGTGACAAACTCCTTCCACTAGTTCTGGCGGCAGCTATGTACCAGACGGTGCCTACATTTCTTTTTGGAACATTGTGGTTTGCTTCCAGTGCAGGTTACCAAAAATTTTTTTTTTTAAAAAGGAAAAAGAAAGCCCCCACTGGAGTTGCACTTTTTTAAAAAAAAAAAGTTGATGTTTTATTGAAGGAAGCCATACACCTGTGAAATCAATCAATCCATTTATTAAATTCTATTCATGCTGTATAATGTTTTAATGAAGACTTTGATGTTGTGTGGGGCATTGTTTACACTTAATGTTAATGCACAAGGCCACAATAAAAATAAATATAATCAGTGTATTAAAATGAATGTGCTTCAACTTTCCCTTTCTTGTTTATAATATATGGTGTGTTAGGCTTTATTGTGAAAATAGATAATGGCTTGAATGCTTTGTCAGTGTCAAACTGCAAAAGTACCCAAAATTTTATATAGGAGAATGGTTTATTATAAAAGACTGTACATAAACTTTAATAGGTTATATACAAACTAAAAGAAACTTTCCAATTTATAAAGGAAATACAGGTAAGTTATTGGTCGCTAAATTTTTAGAAAAATCAGATTAATAGTTAACAAGAAAAGGCAGTAAGCATTTGAAATAGTTACAATGGAGGCAGGTGAAAGAGTTTCAATATTCAGTCTTCCACTAGAAAATGAATAATTCAGTAACCAAATTTCCAAGCCACCAGTCTTTTCATCATTTTATTACAGATGTGTGTATTTTATACCTCATTAGAATAGTACTTTGAAGTACAAAACCAATCCTTACTACATAATTCTCCAGTACTACAGCATATTCTACATCAGATAACCTAAGTAACACACTTCTTTGTACAAACTGAGATGAACATCCCATCTGACCTTTTGCCTGAATTCCCTTAACTCAAAGGAAAGGCAAAGTGCATCTGTTAGCTCCCAGTACTAAAAACCTAACAGGATGTGCATATCTGTTCCCGTGTCCCATAGTTAAAAAGGACTGCTAGCTCTTTCTGTCTTACTTGGCCTGTTACCAGGTCCAGCATAAAATATTTTTTCTACTATTTGGTCCAGCATGCAGTTTGTTTTTAAGAACGTCAGTTTCAGTGAACTGAATCTATTTATTTAAAAGAGTGCATTGGACACAGTCAGAACTCCTTTCAAAGTACTCATCTTATGTAACAGGTGTAAAAATCTGCTAAGATTTTCAAAGGATCTTAGAAGAGGTTGTGGTAACTGGATGACTTCACTTTCATTGGCCCCTTGCCATGGTAGTTTAAGGGTACAACACTTTTAATCTCAGTGTATTGCCAGCGATAACACAACCATATTTTTGTTAAATTAGCATTTCAGATCACTTTGCCAAGCAAACCAACAAAGTAATGGACGAGACCTTTGGTTCACTTATATATTTATGAATGGAAAAGTCATAATGCAAATTTACTCATTTAAAAAAACGTGAGTACAAATTACACATACAGAAGACCACCCATTTTTGATTCACATGGACACCTTAGAGACTCAAACAATTCATTGCAATAAACTTTTAGTGAGAGTACTCCAAGTAAAGATTACAACAGATTGGAAGCATCTTGGATTTTTTTTAAAGTATCATTTCAATACATAAGTCTGTATGCATGCTTTAAACAAACAGTATAGTTCAAGAATGAGCAAGAGTCTAAACAAAAAGTAATATGACCAGCACTAACATTAAACTTTTCATCCAGATTTTTAATATGTTAGTCTAACTTAGTGTTAGTTACCATGCTGCACTGAAAAATGTAATGGCACAATCTGTATCATGGTTCATTAAATATTATGCCCTACTTCCCCCAAATATTTAGGCTGGTCATAAAATTAACAATGCATAAGTAAATAAGTATAACCAGTAATAGACAGTTGCTTGTTTTACAAACTGCCATCAGATCAGACAAACTGTCTCCAGAGACTTATGCTTATGGAGATGGACATTCAATCATACCATTAGAATAGGATGGCTTGAAGAGATGGGCACATTTTTCCTTAAAGTGTATTAAGATTATTCTGTTAACTTTAGTTACCCCTTGCAGATAATCATGGTATGACCGAATACAAGACTCAACTTGAAAAGTAAAGGATTTTAATCAGCATAGTGCATGATTGATTCAACGTAATTCCCAGGGAACAGGCCAGTCACACGATTGCAAACTCCTTCATACCAGCCATCATCATTCTTCTTTATCACATAAATGATTGCACCCTCCATAAACGACAGCTCGTCATCCTTGTCCTTTGTATAGTCATATATAGCAACAACTATGGAGTGGAGAGAGAGAGAGTTTGGTTCAGAATGGTATCCAGTAAAACAGCATTTTGAAGATTTTTAGAATGACATTTGTAATGGCATCTTAAGGATCTCCATGTTTATAGCAAATATTTCTATACCTGGTGGCTGTTTACAAAAGGGGCGGGGGGAACCCCCAGTGCTTTATTTTCAATTTGGTATGACCCTGCACTGAGCACAGTGCGTGCTCAGAAGAGGCATTGTATTAGTTTGACCCAGCGCACCCAACATCTGTATAGACTGCACGCTTGAGCAGGGCTTTTTGGCGCTTCTCTCTCAGCCGATTGAATACGCTTTAGATAAAAGCACCAAAAAAAACCCTGCTTAAGCACCCAATCTTTACAGATGCTGAAGTGCCAGGTCAAACTAATGTGCTTCCTCTTCCAGTAAAGTGCTGTTTTGTTTTATTTTTCTATGTCTGTCAGTGCTCAGTATCTCTTTGCCATCAACATGATTCTTTAGATTTCAAGCTACATTTTCTCACCCATCAAAAACAGTAAAAGTGTAAGCCAAGTTAAGCACTCAATCACCCAGCTTGTACAGGCATGATTGTTTGAGACTTCATAAAAGCATTTAAGGGAAAGATCATTTAGACAAATAAATAGCTAATGTAACTCACAGAGACAACTGTTCGTCACTTCAAATCAGCAGGTATAGCTCCAAATGTACACATCTCTTCATTGAGTTATCATTTATAGTTATTTCAATGAGTAGAACCATACAAAAGTAAGACTTGGATCTTCACTGAATGTTTATGTAGCACAAACTTTAGTGTCAATTCTAAAGCACAGGACTAAACAGATGAATTTGCTGCAAGAGCCAAGAGCAGCAGAGGACTTCTGTGGATCTACAGACCTCCACACTGCCAATGAATGTGGTTCTATGTTTTAAGCAGTATTTTGGAAGGGATATGAAGTCTGCATATCAAAACACTCAGATTGGAGACCTGCCAAATTTCCAAGGTGGCAAACATTCATCAGCCTTTACTGCAAGGCCATCTCTCTTCCATGCAGTCCCTGCCACATTTGCAGTGTGTTTTCAAACATTTGCAGTAAATGAAGCACGATCCAATAAGCAATAGCCTCGTCCTTCACCCTACAGCCCTGATACACACCAAGTGGACAGTCCAGCCCATATGCTAAATGATGTAGCAAGCCAGCACAAAATAGCATATGATAATGTAATTAAAGGCTGGCTTTCCCAATTTTTGAGTGCTTGAGTTGGTAAACCAGATTTTTTAAGGTACTTTTTGGTATATAATGCAAGTAACTTAAAATCTGTTTCTATTGATCAGCTTCACGTTCCTTAATTCGAACAGTAAAGTTGTGGTACACATCTATGGAGAAGGGTGTGGTATAGCCATCTGGCTACCAGTGTATAAAGTTACCCTGATCCCCATGAACTGGTGTTAAAAAAACCCCAAAACAAAACATTGTTTGTTTTCAAAAGAACGTAGCTGCCACTGCATACAGAAAATAGATTCTGACTATCCCCCTCAAACTTTCTGGAGCCACATGAAGCTATCTTCTAGCCGCAGTCAAATATTTTAATGCAATAGGTCATAGGGAATTACTGCTGTCCCACACTGACTGCTTTCCTAGCGCAGCATGACCATACAGGTAAGAAATTGGCTTGTCATTTATTCAGAAGAATATTCTTATGGATGAGGCTTAACGAGCTCCACAAGAAAGTAGGATTTAAGATAAATGGAGGCATTTCCCAAATTATCACTCCATTTTAACAGTTAAATGGCAAATCATTTCATTGAGTTAAAAAGTTTACAAGTTTGCCCTTACTGGGCACTTAGTGATGTTATTTCTGGGCACGTGTCCAGCAATGCTGAAATAGCTGTAGCTGGTATAACAGTTTAACAAATAAGACAAATGAAATCCAATTTACAAATAATGGTGAAAGATTTATCCACTTCATTCTGGTACTCAAATATATTTTTAAGATCTTTTAGCATGGCACCAAGGATTAGGCTGGTTGCACTGGTTGCAGTGACTGAAAAGTTAGGAAAGAATGAGTGTAGATGAAACTGAGCAGGAAGATTTTGGTATTCTTTCCTCATAGTCTACAAGTCAATCAGTACATGGACACTGTGGCAGTATGTAATTGGGATGAATCTCTTACCTTTCTCTATGTAGTTTTTAGGTGCCCATGCAGGGTCCCCATCTGCATATGGATCACTGTACTGCACTACTGCAGCCTCCTCATCTTCATAATCCACTGGGGGTGGAGGTGGGGGTGGGGGAGAGTCATCAAACATAGGCATCTCATCTGGAGGTGGTGGGGGAGGAGGAGTTGGACTATCCGCAACTGGAAACATGAAGAGTCGCATCAGAAACTGTGTGCAAGTGCAATCAAACCTTACCAGGTACACTGCATAGAAAGCCACACAGCATGCACTACAGTACCATGCACCAATTAGAAACAGAAGCTTTGTTAAAGCTACAACACACAACTAATGTTACTAGTGGTCAAATCTATGTGTAAATGCTACTAGAGTCAAAGCACATGCTCCAAAAGCAGAAGCTGTTGCCAGCAGAAAGAGGGGTTTTTGTCCTTATCTGTGTAGAATGAGTTACTAGAGCAGCTGGTGAACCAGGCAAGAACTGGAGAGGCATGAGACTTATTTACAGTTTAACTAAGTAAGAAAAAGCAGGTTCAGAGGAAAAGCTCTGCACAAAAACTTATCTGACAGGACATACCCAGAATTCAACTGGTGAACTAATATAGGCAGCCACTGTGCTTGGGAGCAGATATTTTAGGACTTAAATGTGCTAGCTACCAAATCTCTAAACAGATTCCCCAGTCAACACAATTAAAAGTAACTGGCGTATAGCAAAAAAGGAAAAACCATATTAAAAAGCTGGTTTAAAAAGACAATGGTGCACCTCCAATCAGTTTTCAGCAACATTCAGAATCAGTGAGACAGGAAACAATCAGAAGAAACATACAGCAGCTCCTGACCATCAAGCTTTTCCATCAAGTCAGCAGACTTGCCTCCCAACATCATACCACATTTCTCCATATTGTACTAGCCTCTGAGCCTCACCTACCCACCCCATAAGAGACCCACACTTTGGAGCTTTCCTTATGTCAATTCCATTTGCTCCCTAATATTTTTCATTTTGCCCACCAGGATAGAGTTCAATGGCAGATAACGCCACCCTAGCCTGATCCCTGTCTTTAGGAAGCTTCTAGACTAGATCTGCTGCATTTCTTCTGCCTAGCCAGATGTTAGGAAAACATCCGAGATTAGTTTTAAACTGCAGTTAGTACAATAACTGTAAGACAGATGTGAGGCTATGCTGAAATGAAAGCTACTGGGCACAAGGGAGGTTACAAGCAGAATTCTCTAGGGAGGGGGAGTCTTGGGGCTGATATTATTAAATAACTTGAACGAAGACCTTGGCACAAAGCTAGGACTATGCTAATGATATACCGGTAACAAAATAAGGTGCTGTGAACAGAAAAGGATGGGAATACTATACAGGAAGAATAGGATGACCTGGAGTAAGATTTATACCTTTCCTATTACTAAGTGCAATATCATGTATTTGGACTACTAAGAATTTGTTACAAGGAGGATGTTCATCAGTTGGAAGCAAATCAGGAGACAGACCCCAGTGTATTAGCTGAGCACAAGATGACTGAGTCACTAATTTGATACTAGGACATATCGGGTATGGTATTTCCCCACAGAGTTAGGGAAACATTCGTGCCTTTTTACCAGGCGTTGGTAAAGCCTTCTGGTACAGTTCTGGTTGCTATGTTCAAGGGAAACAAATATATACTTATATATAACTGCAGAGAAGGACTCACAGAATGGGCAGGGGAAAGGATAACTGTTTACAGGACAGCTTGACTTGTTTAGCTTAGCAAAATGAAGATGGAGAAAAGATAAACCCATGCTGGGAGGAAGAGCTACTTCAGCTGGAGGACAAGGGCATCTAGCAGACAATAAAATAATGCATGATAGGATCTGAGGGATTTGATGTCTATTCCCCAGAATTGTGCCTCCCACCATGCCACACATGCATGGGAGTATATGGAACATTTGGGATTGGGCATAAAATTCCGTAGGCACCAGTCATAACTTCTGGGGCAGAGGGTGACTTCGTCCTGGACCCCAGAGATACCCGATACCCAACTGTGATATGCAGCTGAATGTCAGGATTGGACACAGAGCAGTCCTGGGTCTAAAACCTACACGTGCAACCCAGTAGGAACGGGGGAAGAAGATCAGGGAGAGGCTCTCTGATCTCGGGTCCTGGTACCCTGAGCTTTAACCACCAGATGTGTGGCCCAGCTGAGCTGCACATGCAGCATTTAAAAACCCAGAGTGCAGGAGATCCAGGGCTGCCTTCAGCTCAATACCAAAGATTAGGCAGGGGGACAACTTTGTCCCAGACACCAGGAATACAGCGCTCAATGTTGGTATTGGGCAGGGGGCAACCCCAGGTCTGCCACATGCCACACATTCAATTTATGGTACAATACAACCGAGTACAATTCTACGTGGAATATCTTTATGGCTGGTTTGCCTTTTTTATCACAGCATAAATTGGCTGAATGTGTGGCATGTTACAATTTATAGTGCAATTAACATGTTAATTGCATCATAAATGGAACATTTGCCAAGGCCCAAAGTTTGCATAGGAACTCATGGGTATAAACTGACTATGAATAAATTTAAGCTAGAAATTAGTAAAGGACTTTTTGCTACTTGACTGAGTTTCTGGGACAGTTTCCCAAACGCCCTACCTAGTTCTATAAACATGACATTTGAAACATTTGTGATTATGGCCAGTGGCTCTGCAATCTCATCAGCCAACTTCTTAAGCGTGCCATGAGAGTTGGCTGATGAGACTGCAGAGCCACTGGCCATAATCTTTAAAACCTCATGGCTATCAGGAGAGGTCCTGGATGATTAGAGAAGGACAAACAGTGCCTATATTTAAGAAAGGGAAAAAAGGAGGATCCAGGGAATTACATACCAGTCAGCCTCACCTCAGTCCCTGGAAAAAATAATGGAACAGATCCTCAGGAAATCCATTTCTAAGCACTTGGAGGAGAAGGTGATTAAGAACAGTCAGCATGAATTCACTAGGGGCAAGTCATGTCTGACCAACCTGAGTGCCTTCTATGATGAAATGACTGGCTCTGTGGACATAGGGAAACCAATGGATGTGGTATATATTGCTTTTAGCAATGCTATTGATATGGTCTTGCACAATGTTCTCACAAGCAAGTTAAGGAAGTACAGGTGGATAGAAAATTAGCTGGAGCATCAGGTTCCAAAGGTAGTAATCAATGGTTCGATGTCTGGTTGGCAGCCGATATCAAGTGAAGTGCCCCAGGGGTCAGTCCTAGGGCCAGTTTTGTTCAATGCCTTCATCAATAACCCAGGAAGATGGCAGAGTGCACCCCCAGTAAGTTTGACAATGACATCAAGCTGGGAGGAGTAGTAGATACACTGGAGGGTAGGGCTAGGATTCAGTGACCTAGACAAATTAGAGGATTGGGCCAAAAGAAATCTCATGAGGTTCAAAGACAAGTGCAAAAGTCCTGCACTTAGGATGGAACAATCCCATGCACTGGTACAGGCTGGGGGCTGACTGGCTGGGCAGCAGCTCTGCAGAAAAGGATTTGTGGGTTACAGTGGACAATAAGCTGAATATGGGCCAGCAGTGTGCCCTTGTTGCCAAGGCTGATGGCATACTGGGCTGCATTGGTAGGAGTGTTACCAGCAGGTCAAGGGAAGTGATTATTCCCATCTATTCATCACTGGTGAGGCCGCATCTGGAGTAGTGTTCAATTTTGGGCCCCTCATTACAGAAAGGATGTGGACAAATTGGAGAGTCCAGTGGAAGGTAACATAAATGGGGAGGGGGCCAGGGGGATGTGACTTATGAGGAGAGGCTGAGGAAACTCGGCCTATTTATTTTGGAGAAGAGAAGACTGAGAGTGGATTTAATAGCACCCTTCAGCTACCTGAAGGGAGGTATGAAAGAGGATAAAGCTAAACTGTTATCAGTGGTGGCAAATGACAGAACAAGGAGCAACGGTCTCAAGCTGCAGCCACCAGGGAAGTTTAGGTTAGCTATTAGGAAGAATTCTCTCACTAGGAGGGTAGTAAGACACTGGAACAGGCTACCCACCAGAGGCTGTAGACTCTCCATCTTTGCAGGTTTTCAAAAACCAGCTAAACAAAGCTTTGGCTGGGATGATATAGTTGGGGATGGTCCTGCTCTGATCAGGGGGTCAGACTAGATGAACTCCTGAGGTCCCTTCCAACCCTCACTTTCTATGATTCTGTGTGGCAGCTGCCTATAGCTGCAGAGGCTAGACTCAAGAGCCCTGAAGGTCTTTTCCAGTACTATGAGCTACTTGTATCTAAGCAAATCCACATATACCAGCCACCAACGCAAGGGCATCTATACACTCCCTTAAACAGAAGACGCCCATTTACATACAATACAGTGAAAGACCCTACAGTTACTCAGTTACTCATATTCTCATGATAACAAATGTAGGTTTTTGTTGCAATAAGAAAGGAGTAGAGCTCAGGCTGGTAATCAAAACTGAACTGAAAACGGTGTGCTCTCTTTCCCCACTCCAAATCAAAGCCTTAGGATAAAGGTGTTCTATTAACAGTACTTTTTTTTTTTTTTTTTTAAGGACAGTATATTCTGAGTGTCTTCCCCCACATCCTGCTTTGTCTAGGTCTATTTATAGTTCCCAACACCTTTATCCTAAGAACATAAAAAGTGCTATTCTGGGTCAAACCACAGGTCCATCTAGCCCAGTATCCTGTCTCTCTCAGTCCCTAGGCAACAAATAGGCGTCTCTCTCAGTGGCAGAGATGGTGGCTAAAGGGTGTTTAAAAATCCTAGAGCCATCTGCAAGCTGGCTCTGTGGTGGAACATGGCAGCTGTTTAACAACAAACAATTTAGAACACAGGAAGTAAACATTCGGCATCCCAATGGCAGTCTTTGAGGCCAGCAGGCCCAGAGCAAGGGCATGGGAAGAGTGGCTAAGAAATGGTATCCACTTGTGTCTGTAGGGAAAAAAAGGAGGAACTTGGCTCATGCTCTCTCCTGGTAAGCTACCAACAAGCAGGTGTGCAACTTGTGCACGCAGGCAGGTACAAGCCAGGGGAGCATGACCAGCAGGCCGGAGTCAGCCCATGGACCATATCATTTGACACATACTACAGAAAAAAAAATTAGCTGTACCAGTTGCCTAGCATGGGTGACCAGACAAGCTGACAGCTCCAAGCTGTCAAGTTAAACAACAGGGTTTTGTAGACTTGCATTTAAAATTCCACTAACAGTAAAAAACAAGTAAACTAGGGGAGAAGAGCACAGTGACATGTGAAGCTTTCTGGGAATGTATGTGGGGGGAGAATTAAGGGTGAAATTAAGAACTTAATCATAGGTCATTAAAATACTATTATCTGATTATTACCCACCTCCTCCAAGCTATTAGTGGTTCTTTCCCCATATGAATATTTACTTATACTGCTCTCATGAGTTGGACCAATTCCATAATCTTTCATTCTAGTAACAGCAATTGTCTTTTGTCACTGCCTGCCCTATAAAACAGGATTTTCTAGCAGTCAGTTTACTGACTCAATCCATTTCACATAGACACACATGTACACACAAATAAATGAAACCATTTATGAACTGGATCCATTTTGTACATTATCTTGGGCACACATTTCACAAATGAATTTCCAACTCAATTTTTTAAATACATATTTTCCTCCCAATATCCATTCTATTGAGCATTTTGAATTTGACTGGGATCTGAATTGTTTAATCCCGAGTCAATTTTTGGCCAGTTTTAGCCAATGAAAAATCCTTATTTTATGAATGAATTAAGGTTGCTTATTTAAAAGGAGCAAAGGAGGGTTAGAAATACAAAGTGAAAGTGCCAACAGATGCACTGCTTTGGCTGCAGTGCCAATCAAGCACATTTTATGGGAAACACTGAAAATAAATAAAATTCAGCTTCACATTTAATGGGAAAAACAAAACAAACAACAGAACATACTTCATGTGCACCAGCCGAGTTAACCTTGCTCTTGGAACTTTAGCCTTTATATTTCTGGACTGATTTTAAACCTGGACAATTCTGAAGTTGCAGTGTCTTGAGGTTTTGCAATGTATTATTTTCTTTTAAAGGAGAAACGGCCAAGGCAATGCCTGTTCTCTGTATTACTATTTACATAGCTCCAAATCCACAGTATTGTGCATGCAAGATGAAGGAGGGAATAAGTTTTTGTAAAAATGCCATTGCAATATAATCTACGTAGAGACAGGCATTTTACAAGGAATAGATCATAAATAGGCAGTAGCAACACATCTACTTCTACTGCACTGGTTGCGACTGTAGAGCAGATGTATTTAGCTAAACCGACTGAATATTCTTCTACGAAGATACCCACAGTCAGGTACAGGGCGCAGGAAAAAATAGAGGTCTTACGGAATTGCTTTCAGAGGGCAATGAAAGAAGGGCTTAGGCGTCCAGAGAGCAGCCAGAGGATAATGCTTTCCAATCCCAGAGATCCCTGTATCTGTTAGGAAGGGAATCCCTTATCCCATGGAAGGCAAGCCTACCTATGCTGCTCCTTGATGCCCTGATCCCCACTCCCACAGCAGAAGTATAGATCACTGGGGCAGATGGAGGTAAGGGTGCAACAATGAATTGGACAAAGCTCAGGGAATCTCTTAAAAACACATTTTGTAGAGTGCATGCTTAGCTAGGAATATATGCACTGCTGCCTTAGTGAGATGCTAGGGACAACTCTTGTTTTCTGCTCTGCAAACTCAGCCCAGTTTTCAAATACAAATGGCTTCATCAAAAATCCAAAACAACTCTCGTCATGCCCACTCTCCTAATGTATTCAGAATGGGGGAGAGGGCTTAAGGGGGAGCCTAAGCTTGAAAAAAATAAATATGAAGTTCAAATTTTCCAGGAAGTTATTAGCACACAAATGTTCTGTAACCTTGGTCTCTGGTGGACATTATCCCACCATTGCACAGGATTTTGGCTGTAACCTTGGGCCACTTTATTTAATTCTACATAGGTGTGTACCTACATAGGCTTAAACACTTCAGCTTCGGGCAAGACCCTGTGGAATGGTTAGGTTCTCTGAAGGTTACTGAAAACCATAACTGCTCCATTGTTCTTATGGGTGCTCTCTCTGCATTCTGTAAGTGGCTGGACTCCTACTGAATCACTACTGTGAGAGTCCTTTAAGCCAGTGGTTTTCACCCTTTTTTATATCAGGATCCATTTGTAAACATTGATGGCCAGTCCCAACCCACTGCCCCCTCCACCCCGCCAACATCCAGTGTATGGGACAGCGGGGGGCCAAAGCAGTCCCTTACAGGCTGGAACTCTGACAAGGGCCTTGTCCCTTGCCAGAAGAAACAGTGTCCCACGTTTTTCTCCTTTAAAGGAGAATCCATAAGTTTGTTGATTCATTTTTAAAGTTTGTTTGCAACCCTTTCATATATTCTTGCAACTCACTTTTGGGTTGCAACCCATGGGTTGAGAAATACTGCTTTAAGCTATGCTTAGCGTCCCAAAAACAATGGAAAGTGACCAGCACTAAACACCTCTCAAGATCAGTCTTTCTTTACAGCCTATATTCTAGTAAATATTTTAAGATAACCAATTATGTCCACACTAGGAGCATTTTACTGGTATAGGAATGCAGTATTCCATACAAGCAAAGCATTCCTGGCATGGATATAAAATACCTCATCAAGGCTGCCTTTCCAGTTAGTATACCAATGCTACTGAGCAGGAGCAAAAAAAGCAGCACTGGTTTAAAAAATAAATAAATCAGTTTTACCAGTATAACAATGTCTACTCTCAAGAGCTTCTACCAGCCCAGCTAGGGCAGACAGGGTACACACCTCTGTCCACCCCTGGCCAACACAAGTATGCTGGAAGATGCCACTAATATGAACCTAGCTAGAGAATATAGGAAGGAAAGAAAGAATTGAGGCAAACGTTCCAGGTCCTCTATATTGATGTTAAATTATAAAACTAAATGCTTCCTATTACTTAGCCATGTGGCTTTCTAAAAAGCTGGCACAAATTATGAATTACCAAGTACACAGGTGTGCATTTTGACAACATACTGCATAATCTTTTCTAATGCAAACTAAGCAACTATCTCTAGTGATAAAGCCTCAGGCAGGAAGACTGAACACTATATTTTCCCCCAACTCCCCACAATTAAAATATAGTTCTCTACCCAGCCCTGAAAAGATGCCATATTTCACATTTTCTTTCTAATCATAAATTTGCAGTTCCAAACTTAAATGGGGTCAGTAATAATCATGCAGATGTTACAAAAAAATTGAAGGAGCATGCCCTTCAGCTCCAATAGCAGATTGGCACTAGGAATGCAAGGTGGTATTAGCTTCTGGAGGAGGAAACAAAAGTCTGACTCGCCAGCCATGCATGCTAGAAGAAAATAGGCTCTACTCTTTGTTAGCTCAGCTTGTCCAAACTTACTGTTTTCCTGCACCCTGGCCACGAAGCCTGTGAGAGGTATCTGTGGAGTCAACTGAGGCATAGGGGGAGGGGGTGGAGCAATAGAAACTGGGAGCAACACACACCATATTGGGGAAGTCAAATAGATCAAGGAAAAAAAGGAAAAACAAATAAAAGCAGCCGTCAGTAAACAAGGACCACAAAACAGTATTGAAACACCAAGAACACACACACACACACACATACATAAGAACCTTTTTCAAGTTTTTCCCAACAAAGCTACAGCTGAATTCATGTTTAGGCAATTGACTTAAGAAATAAAATCATCCGCTTAGCTCAGGGGCGGGCAATTATTTTGGGCAAGGCCCGCTTACTGAGTTTTAGCAAGCCATCGTGGGCCACATGACAGGCAGCCCAGGGCAGATAAATATTAATTTTCTAAATTTTTAAAGGGCCCCACGGGCCGGATAGAATGGCCTGGTGGGCCGCACTTTGCCCATCCCTGGCTTAGCTGAATAAAAGGCAGTGCCTGGCTAAATGTGTTGCAGTTCAGAAGACATGTTTATTAAAAAATTATTTAATTTAAAATGTATTATTTATATTGTGGTGGCACCTACAGACCACACAACTTTCCTATTTTTTTTTTTTATTATTGTTTAAAAGGAGTAAAATGCATGAAACATACAAGGTTTCATCAAATATTGGCCTCTTGCTGCTACATAATACCAAGCGCCTTATGAACAGCGTGTGTGCTTTGTTTCAATGCTATTTATAAAACAAGCAATCCTACAACTCCATTATAAATTCATTATTGTACTGAAATGACCAATGGCTACTTACTTTATCTGTTAGATGGGGAGCATGCTGACTATTTACTGTTACTGTGGACCCACAGAATTATCTGGTTTTAAGACGGATCTGGGCATACAATAGCTTATGAACTGGTTTCTAGCAAAATAAGTTTCTCTTCAATAGTTAAATCTTCTGTAAGGAAAGAACCACCTAGCAAGTTGAAAGGCTGACAGTCCAATGGGGTGCAACTGGCTCGCACACATACACACACCTCCCAGCCAATTACTGGGACTGACAAGCACATGTCCTCTGAACTGTACCCTTTTATTGAACAAAGGATTTATAAATGTGGATATACCACTGATGCTCATTAATACACAGGACTGACAGCCATGAAACTGAAGTCTTCTCTCTACAGAACAGGCACGTAAGAGCAGGAGCAGCTGCAATGCAAGCTCTCCTTACTGAGTTCCTCAAGCTTTTATTGAAAGAGGAAAAGCATAACTCAGTCCTATTAATATTTAAGTCCTGAACTCAGAAAGGCAACCCTCAAGGGTACCAAATACCATATAACTTTGAGGACCAAAACAAACCAACTAATTTCAGTTGAAGTTAGTTTAAAATCCTCCTTCACCTAACTGATTCCTATAATGTGTGAATTCAGCAGAACAAATTTGGAAGCAAATTTGAAAGAGGTTCTTCATTTCCAAGTAAACAATAGTTAAAAAGAAAACCACCATAACCAATATTAATATTTGACAAATAAATGCAGCATTTAGTTCATACAATAAGAACACCTCAACTATTTTCCCCATATAATTTTTAAAAGAATCAGTAAGAAAGGGGGGGGAAAAAATCCAACAGATTTTTTTCCATAAAAACTGAAGAAAACATTTCTAAGAAAATCTAGCTCTTGGTTAGCATGACAGTATAATGCTAAGGAAACAATGAGCCAGATTTATTGTCAAGGTAGGGATCTTAAAAATCACTAGTTTCAGGAATAGATTAAATTACTTTCAAGTTCAAAGGCCTTTAAGAACTTAAAAAAATGGTGCTTTGAAAAACACTACAGATAACCCAAAATAAGGGATAATATCTACATTTGAACACAAATTGCATTGAAATTCTTTTTTCAAGAAGTTTTAACAAGCCAACTGAGTAACAGCTGAGGCAGTTGAGCCACTTCTGATGTAGAGGGCAGTTTACTCAAATAACTACCACTATCTGAAAATAAACAGTTGTTCTTTCTTAACAGGGAGTTACTCTGGGGATTAAATATGGAGGAAACTAATGGGATATCGTGTGTGAAGGACAGAGACACAAAGATTAACATTAATCTACTCTACAGGGCGCCACCCTGCCCTGCCATCTGCCTAACTTCAGGCCACCATGGCTAACTCTCTAAAGTAGTTAACTATTCCACATGCCTTGTGTACAGAGAGAAATATTTCTTACTGAAATAATTTTAGATGATCAGTGGGAAGTTCTCCATCAATGCTTTTCAAATATTTTTAGATTAAATATATATTTTTTTAAAAGTACACTAGGAGTAACAGAACTCAAATTCCCTTAAGGGTGATGATACTGTAATAGAATCTGCATTTAGCATGGTTTAAAATCCATCCAAAACAAAAGCATACAGGTGTTTTTAATCTATGTGTGTACATGGTCATAATTTAGAGGGATGGAGAAAAGGAAAGATCCTGGGGAATTGGTTCCCACTGAAAACTTTAGCCTACAATATTGTTTGCTCCAGGTGAGGGCTGAAAAGGGACAGAAGGATCGATTCAGGGTACAGGATTATAAACAATTCACCTTGGGAATATACTGCATATCAGGTGCTCTGCAGAAACTACCCATGTGCATGCTCTTACCCTATGGTAACTTATCTTTCTTCCACTGAGGGCTAAACCGCACGCAGGTTTAAGAACACACCAATCACCAGCTGCTGCAGAGCAGTTTATATGCATTAAAGATCCATCTACCTTTATCCCACAATAAGTTATTTGGGTGCCTACTACCCCAAGGCTGATTAGGAACAGTAGCATTCCCACCAGTCAAACAGCTTATAAAATTGGCAAAGAGAAGGTCTTGCTTTGCAGCCTCCTGCTGCAAACGGCTGGCTTTGTTACCTTCCCGGGCAGGCAGGATGCTGCTCTCTAGAACTGGCCCAACTCTCAGCCTGCTTTCTCCTCCACAGTCTGCTTGCAAGTAAAGGGTACAGAGGAGTGAGGCAGGCTTGGGATGAAGGACTGAGGAGGAATACAAGGTCAATTAAGGAATTTGGGGAGGAGTTTCTTGTAAGGAGGGAAAAAGCGGACAAAGGCAGGAAAATGAGGATGGAGAAGTGTTTACAATAAGGCTCTGGAAGGGAGCTTATCAGTTGGGACCCCAGACTGAGAGGACTTATAAAAACTGAGTCTCACTGCCCTCAACCCAATCCCAACTGTGCAAGCTCAGTAACTCCACTGTGCAGACACAGGTTATCAATATCAGCAGGTTTTTCCACCGATCCTGATGACAGTCTCATTTTCTTGATTTAAACATTAACATGAAAATTGGTTCGATATCAGTACTGTATTTAAAACTACTTAGAACTGTCACAACCATTTGTTTCTGTACCTAAACAGTTCTTAACTGCAAGAGTTTAACTATGTAAGCCTAAGAGGTATACCGCCTCAAGTGAATGAATGGGAACATGACTGTTGGAGAAACCCCTTAGCATTGTGGTTTACTGTGAAAGAAATGAAGGAGAAAGCATTATCTTGGTAATGCTATGAAAAGGGCTTGTTTTCTAAATTGTCTCAGCATCTAATTACCAGATCATAAGACTTACACAGTAGTAGTTAATAGCTTTTTTGCTTCCCATCACAGATCAAAAAATTCATAGTATTTACTTGAAATACCAATGGTTCCATTTTAGACAAGAGCTCTATACTGTCATTAATCCCATGGAGAGATTGAACCACTGGATTTTTTTTGCATTAAAACATTTTTCAATTGTGGAGCCCTTTTTTGTGCATAAACACCCCACAAAATATTTCTAATTGTTTACTTTTAATTACAGGGCAATCCTAATCTTGCCCATTATATTTGTTGCTAGGTAATTTCCCAGGGTGGGGGAAGGGCAAATGTTCAACATATAATTGAAACTGAGACAGAGCACACCTTTCTGCATCTTTTCTAAGGAAATGGAGATAAATGCAAACAAATGTTTGATTCTGGCTGTTCACCTGCACAAGCAAGTCATTTAGCTCAAAACAGTCCATGACTGCAAAGCACAGAAGCTTACTTGAGTTTTGAGAATAAAGAGGCCCGCCATTAACATGAGGTTGAGCAGAAAATGGGACAGTCACAGAGGGATTCCGTCTGTATCCACCAGAAGATGCTGAGGAAGTGGTAGAGTTGTGTCGCGAAATCTGCCTGGTCATTGTGCCATACTGGGAACCAGGAGCTGAACCAGGAGCAGCTGAAAAAGCATTAGCCAAAAGGAACCAACGAGAAGACTTAAGCCACGTATTACATAGGACAGAATGCAGAACACAGAAAAAAGCCCCAGAATGTGACAAATACCTGAAACCACGACTCCAGCAGGGTAAGGCCAGTAGCAGGTGATCAACAAGAGACAGAAAACACCCAGTTCTACAATATTATGATACCAGCCACATAAAATATTTATCTATGATATAAAAAGCTACTGAAATCTTGCTCGCTACACAGATAGGTTATATAAATTAGCAAAGCTGCAACACCTTTCATTAAAGAAAAAGACAGGTAAACACCATGAAAAGATTCTATATCCTGTTGAAAGCAAAAGTTTTGGAGGCAAGATTGTTTCAGAATGCAATCTTTTAAAAGGAAAAACTTATAAAAAGATGTTCTTGAACAAAAAGAAGGAAACACTCACCACTGCAGAAACATATTTAGTCATGGCTCACACAAGCACCAGGTTATGATTTTTGGACATTACTCATATTTAATATTTCTACCATTTGTTAACTGTGCTTTCATACAGGGAACCTGCATTAACAAATTTGAATCAACATACACATACAAAGTGTGTCAGCACCAATTTTTTTTTTTAACCAATCACACAGCTGATGTACAATTCATTATTAATATGAAACGCAAGAATAACTGCTCAGTCTCTTTCCTTTTTGTTGTTTCATTTTTCTTTATCACAGAGGCTAAAGAATTTCACTCCATGCAAACCAATGAACCTCAAGTTTAACTCTTATTTGTCAATGCACAGGTTCCTTTTAGCTTTCAAGCACAGTAACATTTTGCAGAAAAATCATTGTGTGCATATATATGAATCAACACACACACACACACCACACGCACTACACACACTACACACGCACTACACACGCACTACACACTACACACACACACCTATTACACACTACACACACACACTACACACACATTACACACTACACACACACACTACACACATACCTATTACACACACACACTACACACACTACACACAGATATTACACACACATACTACACACATACCTATTACACACACACACTGCACACACACTACACACATACATATTACACACACTACACACACACGAATTACACACACATAGATATTACACACACATACCTATTACACACACACACTGCACACACACTACACACATACATATTACACACACTACACACACATTACACATATTACACACACTACACACACATATACATTACACACACATTACACACACATATACACATATACATATTACACACATTACACACACACACACACACACTACACACACACGCGCAAGAAGTACATTCAGAAATGTATAGACTAATTAAATACTATTTGAAGATGATTTAACACTTCAGGTAAGAGAAAATGTTCAAGGATTATGCAAGTCAAAGCCTCCAAAGTCTGTTTCATGGCAAGAAAATGACTTCTGACAACTGCCCTGTGCTGTGGAGCACTTGCTGTGCAGCTTGAAGATACAAATCTGACAAAAGAATTTCTGAAGTCTCCCAGTTTCATATCTCCACACAGGATTACTGAATTGTATCCAAACCAGTAGACTAGACACTTCTGCTCTTCCTTCTATTTTCATTCATACTGGTCCACAAGAGAAATCCCAGTATATATCCTCCCTCCCATATTAATTATTGCTCCTTTAATGTACATTATTACTGTCTTGTTTTACAAAGTCAGAATATCAAGGAGAAGACCTGCACACAGACCAAATTCATATTGCTGCAGATCAGATCAGCTTCACTGGGAATATTAGGGTTCTAAGTAACTAATGCATTACACTTTTTCCATATGCATGTACCTTCAGAGGCTTTCACCAGAGGAATTAGTTGAGATTAGTGGATCTTTATACCAAAACCATGTACACCCCATTAACAAGGAGGCAGACAGCTTCTATGTATCCATTAGGAGGAGTTTATTATTGATTATGCTAAATAATCACAATCACTTCAGGGCTGACTAAGTCTCACCTATCATACTGCCCATCAGGAGAGGTGGTGGTGGCAGTGGTGGTGCTGGCGGGGCTCCAGGAGGAGGAGGAACAGAAATGTGTGCTAATAAAATAGTTCATATTGCCAGTTAGGCTAGGAATAAAGAGCTGCATGTTTAACAAACAAGAAATCAGAAACTCTCCAGTGCCTGATACAAAATTTGAGCCTTGGCCCTATGGTAAGTCGCATACTTACAAACTTTTTCTTCTTTATGGAATCCTTTGACTTCATTAATGCAAAACCACAAAAAGGAGAACTCCACATTACATGGACCCCACTGCAGGATTGGGAACCTGAAGTAGGCCTTAAATCTTTGTAAAAAAGGGAACGTGTGATCTGCTTCTTTGTTTACAAAAGATTCCAATGGCAAATTTCCACCCAAGAGTGAAAATATGAAGTTTGACCACCACCATCTTTTAGTCTGTATTTTTAGTTTGGACTATCACTTCCTCACCCAAGACAGCTTAACATGTTTACAGAATAAACATTCACTAAGCCTGCAGTCATGACTTTCCTCTATCTTGCTATACTGACTAACAACCAAGTACTGTACTTTCTCAGCCCTAAGACAATCCTCTCACTGAACAGCGTGCATCTGGAGTAATTTAGAAACATCAAAAGCTGCATTTATGCAGATGGTTGGCCTAGGGGCCCTCTCCTCCCTTTACCCCTATGGCTCTGCACTTCTAACAGGGAATTCTGTTTTCTTTATCAAATGGTAGAGTTGTGCTCTTGATGCCTAAGGTCCTACTGCCAGTTCCTATGCAATTTATAGGGTATTGAGCAATGACAGTTCTTACACTTTGATTTATTTTTGGCATTGAAAAATCACATTAGTGGATGATGTTAAATTTTATAATTGGTATTTTGTTTATTCCTAGATTGTCTTCCCACCTTTTTTAGGTGTTAAACAAAATAATTGTTCTTTTGATTAAATTTTTAGCATATACAATAATAATAAAACTATCAGGCTATTTCAAAAGATCTCACCAATGAAATGAATACAATACAGTTGCTTTTTCTTTTCAGGGCAATTAGAAATGACAACTTGTCCATAAGCATTGTAAAAGAATTGATTTAATCTGGTACCTCTCAACAAGGGGAAAATCCTTTAATTCTTTAGAATCAGTTAGCATTAACACTCTATAAAACAAAAAGCTAACATAAGTGTTTTAACCATTTTAAATGAGCAATTATTTTGGGAATATTTTTCCCCAGGAGATTAAGACTTCAGATTTCTCATGACAGACTTTCATGGGACAGACTCTGTAACTAGGATTCTATTTGTTTCAGCACAATTTCAAAGCCATTGAACACACAAAAGGGTCCATTTGGAAACATCCAAATGAGCCACAGTAACTTATGAAGTAATATGAAAAGAATCTCATACCTGGGCCAATAGTTGGTGGTGAAGGTGTAGGCACGGCAATGGGAATGCCAATACTGCTGCTTCCGCTATTCTCTCGACTACCACTTCCGCCACTACTACCACTTAAATAAAAAACACATACACAAGCGTCATCATAGTTGTCCACAAAGATGTACAAACATTCCTCTTACATACCTAAACAGTGACTGATTAAAACTGGCTCAATTTTAAACATCGTTTAAAAGAATAAAAGCCCTGTAAATTGACTCTGTATTTGCAGTCCCTACTCAGATAATCAAATCAGAAGCCATTAAATTCTAGCAGTAGTAGATGCAATTAGCTAAGCTGTTACACCTTTCCATAGTCATGTTTTAATTAAATATTGTGTTAACTAAAAATGTAAGCACCCATTTAAGATCTAGGCAACCGAGTCTTAATATGAATACAGTAACACTGCCAGGTGCTCCAAATTAAAGATGATAAATGGGGTGTTAAATGGGTCAAGCGTAAACTATCTGCGATTCCTGGAATGTGTGCTACAGGTTTAAAATGTCTTCCTTTTACTAAATGAATATGTGAGTCCAAGTTTAGAGTCATTAGCAGTTTTACTACAACAAGAAAGACCAACAATAAAGGCAAAACATAAGTTCTGGTATAAACAATGTCCTCTTCTCCTTCTCTTTTTCTTAGATCCAGCAATCTACAATATTTTCAGTGTTGCTATTGTGTGCTATTCACACAATCATGTTTCAATCATGTTTAATTGTGATATTACTTTAGAGCTGTTCTTAAAGGCCAAGTATTTATACCTAATGTAACTTGAAGAAATCATACAATATTTTTCATGTAAGCCTCTTAAAGGCCATTCCAACTAAATGGAAAGTAGGGAACTGAATATGAATCCAAGGACAAAATTCAATAAATATGCCATCAGCCAAGGCTTGAATCTATTGAGATTCAGAGGACAGGAAGAGAATTAAACAACCAAGATGCCCTGTAACTTAAAAGCCATTTCCACAGATTCATGCTAATTAAAATATAGCAGCACTCAATCCACTTTATTTACCATTTCTGTGCAACCATACATCAATGCTGCTGAAGAGTCAGGTACAAATCATTCAAATACATCTTAAGAAAATAACACTGCTATAAAAAGAAAATTGGTGATCTGAACTGGGAGCCAAGATAATTCCTTCAAAATTAGTGTTCTGACTGCTGAAGACCTTGATCTTGTCACCATGGTTGCAGCTGAATTTCTAGCTGCAGTCTATGTAAAAGATCTTGTGAGACAAGAATGGAGACTTCACAGTAGCTGGCTAAGATTTAACAGGTCTTCACTGCATACTGATTTAGAAATTATTTTATTTTGACGCGTTTCATAGCTGGCAGCAAGCTGTCTCATACATAGAACAATTGTTTTTCCAAGATCCAAAAGGACTCTCTGAATCCTAGAACTATTATTATGCTTTTTAAAACATCAGATTGTTTAAATAACTAACACACCAATCCTTTCTTTAGCAATTCCAAGGACAATAAAACCATTTGCCTTCCTCTATAGTATGGGGCACGGTCCTCTTTCTCTGAACACATAAATCAATCAATTACTTCTCTGCCATTGCGCGAGGAGGGTACTGATAGTGCCCACATTATGTCCACTTTATACACTGCCCTGTGCAGGTCCTTTCACAGCATCCGATTAAGGGAGCTTGTGCTCCTATATGTTTATGCTATACAGGTTTCCCTCGCTTTATGCGGGTTCTGTATGTGCAAATTTACTCTTATGCAATGACCCGTTTTATACCAAAAATTCGTTATATGTGAGGCAAATTCACTCGTACGCAATTGGTGTGATGGAAGTCCTCAGTCTGCTGCTGTGTGTGGTGCATTGTGGGAGTGATGTGCAAAATAGAGTCTCCTGTGTGGAGCTGTGCTCCTTGCTTGTCGTCTGTGATGCACGTTTCTGTAGTTGCCAGCCCCATTATAGTAATATTCACCACCACCTTGTACTTGTGTGTACTGTCTGCTGTTGGTGAGTACCAAAATCATCTTGTAAAAGTGGTAGAAATGGGTCTGGGGGTCAGTACAGTCGAGGTCTTGGAATATATCCCTATTTGTTATATTGTAAAGTGGGCTCCCCTTATGCGAATTTGAGTTATGCACCATTTTCCAGGAACGCATGTACAGCATAAAGCAAGGAAAACCTGTACATCTGATTTACTTCGTCTATAATGGTGAAAATTTACCCTACCTTCTGTATACATTTGAAAAACTGAAACACATGCTAGAGTCAATACATTCAGAGGTACCAAATCTGGAGAGCATTTTCTACAAAGAAGAATCCAAGGTATTTTAAAACTATATCTTTCTTACGTGGATTATGCTCCCAACCTCTGAAGGATCCAGGTATAAAGCTTTTCTACCACCCCAATGAACCAGACCAAAAATGGGTACGGAATCAGCAGCAGCATACTCTACCTGTGGGTTCTTGGTCTCTGGTTCAAGGAAGCTGTTCTTCCTGGACTGTGCTGACTTCCAAGTCTGGCAGGACTGGTCATGTAATCATTAGGAACAGTCGGAGGCTTGACTGGCTCCAGGGTTTTGTAAGGAGTATTTCGTCTGGTCAAAGAAAAAGGGGATGGGAAAGAGAAAAAGATGAAAGGGTCAAGAGGTAGAAAGGATAATTCCTCCGATTAAAAGTAATCAAGCCATTTGTTTTCCTAAACCTTCATAAACAACCACTGTACAGTGACCCACATTACCATAAATAATACACCTCTACAAGCATAAAGTAAAATGGGTGTTCTGCTCTCAGCATACTAGTGTTGCATATTTACAAAGTCACGATTAAAGTTAATTTTAGTCTCATTTCAAAAGTTAAATAACATTTTAATGTTGAGTATGTTAAATAAAACCATAGAAAAAGTATCTTGAAAGTGATTTAGTACTGCAAGACTAAGTTAGACATACCTTTAAAACACACAAATTAATTAAAATATACCCAAATTTATGGTCACAAAATACTCCAGAGGTTACCAGTTATGTAAACTCCAGCATGTACACAGCCTTACAATTGTGCCTGCCAACAACGTTATAATCAAGGGACTGTTAAAACACTTCCCCAAATATAACTCCCTTCAAAATGTAACCATCCGAAAGAATACCCCAAACAAAAAGGGTAACCATATGCTTGACCAGAAATCAGGTATGAGGCTGCACACAAAGAAAGGAACCCAGAAGGCATGACAAAACATTTTTAACTGCACAATATCTTATTAAATCGCCACTTAAAAAGAAGCACCTAATTTTTATAGAGAGTTCTTCATATAATAAATCTTTACGTGGGAGGGAAGCACAGTTATCACCATCACACAAACTGAGGCACCAAGAGATTAAATGACTTGCTCAAAGCCATCCGTCAGATTGCCAGCCAAACTAGATGTAGATAACAGGTCTCCCAAGTTCCAAGGTCTAATGTTCTATCTAGTAAGCCACACTGCCATAAGCTTGCATTATATTTGCTGAAAAACTAGAGGTGCACTGATAAAGATTTACTGATCCAATAGCTGATTTACAGGAATGCAACCTGGGAGTTTGGAGAGCAGCCTCCTGACAAAGTCTGTGTGGGGAGAAGGAGTGTGGGGGAGTGAAGGAGCATGAGGGGGGCAGAACAAAGCCCCCATGGTGAGGAAGGGAGTGGGCAGGGGCAGGGGCTGCCCAGCCAGGACACAGAATGGGACCTCGAGGCCAAGAGCAGGATGGAGCCACGAGTGGTTCATCCAGAGGGTGCAGGGCAGGAGGGTGAAGGAGGGGGCAGTTCTCCACCACTGTGCACACCCCTGAGGAAAGTATGGGGGACACATATCCCCCTGTGTGCAGGGCAAGGGTGGGCTGCCTGCTGCATGTTCAGGGTCAGGGGCTGTGCCAGCCTCTTCCCGATGAAGGGGCTGGGCTCAGATGTGCAAGGTGTGCTGCAATGCTGGGAGGGGTGGCTATGGGGAATTTTGGGGTAGTTATAACCCCCCCGAGCCTCTCCCAGCACTGACCTGCTCAGGGCACTCTTTGCTGCCTTTCCCTCAGGAGCCCTGCCTTTCCCTTGAAAGCAGGAGTGGTGTTGGGGGGGTGCGCACAGCAGCGGGGATGGTGAGCCACCCCCACCTCCCCACAAATGAGTTGCCTGTGGCTCCATCCCACTCCCGACCTCGAGGTCACATTCGCCACCCTGGCCTGGCAGCACCTGCCCAAGCCCCACTCCCTCCCTCCCTCACCATGGGGGCCTCAATCTGCCCCTCCCACAGCCCTTCCCCTCCTCCACACCCCTTCTCCCCCAGAGACTTATCAGCAGGAGGCTGCTCTCCAAACTACCAGGCTGCATTCCTGGCCATATGCATGCTGTAGTTGCACATGGCATTTATCGGTGACACTATCGACCAAAAAAAGCCAACAGCCGATAATGTTAGTTTACCTGTTATCGGTGCCAATCCAATATGCGACTGATATATCGATGCACTTCTATGAACAGCTCTACAGCATAGTAAAAATAAGTAAATAAATAAATATAAAAATCCACCCCTTAATAACCAGACAATCACAGCAAGAATGAATTTGGTGAAGTGAAAAGCAAACAAAGAAAAAGAGCAAAGCCATCACAAAAAAAAGTGTGTTTTGTTCAGTTATCAGCTGATGGCTAAGTACAGACAGTCAAAAAAGCTCAAGGCTGAATCAATTCAATCTCTGCAGGTTAGTCCAAGCTGCGTAAACTGAACTGAGAAGCAAATGAACAGACATTCACTTTTGATTCCGGAAATGCAGAAATGTAGTCACATGCCTGCAGTGGCCCAGGACAGAAGCTGGGGGATGCTAGAGCACACCTCCCTGCTAGCCTGCCCACCTTGTGGCAAAAGGGTTGCGGGAGAGGTGCAAAGCATCCTGGGATGCTGGGGGACTATGAGTTAACTTGAATCTGGAGGGGATCTGGGACAGAAGTTCAATAAACTGATTTAAACTTAAATCAGTTAAAGCTGATACTACATTCATCCAGGTTTATCTTAAAAACTGGTTTTGGCCACTTTGAAAGTGGTTTATGTGCACTGAATTTCTTGTATGTTATAGATTTGAACCAGTTTCTAATCACTCACACAAGTTTGTGTGTAATCTCTGTCCCTATAGCCATAAAGTTTAGTTGCATCATTTTGTGGTATCCTAGCAAACAAGTTTGATTTCAATAGATATTATAGAAAAGCACTTCTCAGGACAGAAACATTAAACCGTTTCTAAGAAAAAAAATAGGCACATCACAATTATGTGCATGAATTATGGTATTTGTGGATTAGTTTGTTTATGCACACACATAGCCACAAAAAGTTTTAAGACGGTGACTGCTATTATTTTTGTTGTGCCAAAATGATTAAATCATGAGAAAATGAAAAAGCCTATGTTCCAGTTAGACCAAGCCAGAAATATGACTGATACCGAAAAGAAAAATGATAAACAAAGACGTTTTGTACATGCTTCTACTAGAAATAACCAAAGTAAAGAACATTAAAAATCCTATCATTATTGTCCTAGCTTAGAGAGACTGGGAATAAGAACTGGAGTCCAAGTCTTAACTCTTCTCTGCACATTTTTGCAAAGGGAGGATGTAGCTACTCCTGCTGTGCGTCTCTGATTTCTCGCGGTTTACTCAGTTCTGCAACTAAAACTCAAAAGACGTTCCCTTTCCAAGGACTAAATCCTAGATTGTCTAGGAAACCTCCTAGTTAAACACATGCTCTCTCCAGGCTCCAGACAGTTCTTTGCCAGCACTCTCCAGACACTAGGATTTGGTTCATTTCCAGAGTTCAATTATTCCTCTTCTCTCCAGTGTGTTTATTGCCAGCACCCCCTGGGGAAGTACAAGGAAATAAAAGCCCTCTCTCCCCTCTAGATTCAGATTCAAGATTCAGACAATGCCTATCCACTCAGCTCACCACGCTTGCTGCATTCCCCTGAGATGCTTCCTGTAGAATCCACCTAGTCAAGACTCTTTGCCAGACTAGGTGCTTCCCTATTCCCCCACCCTGGTCACAGGAAAGATTATCCAGGGATCTTCTGCCACCTGCAGATCTTATTCAATATTGAGCTTGTTGTTTATCATTTCTGCCATCCCCTGATGTGTGGACTTTTCTCTATATCGCTCTCTCTCCTGGGGTATTACATTTCCCAAGATTCCATTAAATGAAAAGGGTATTGTTTCCCAAAAGGATCCCAAACAATTCCCCTCACTGCTGAAAAGCAGCTCTCTGTGGTGGGAAAACACTAATGATCAGGTAGACAACTGAGGCAGAGCACATTACCCAAGAGCAGGGAATGAACTTTCACAAAGCATGAGGCAGCGCATGCACATAGCACTAGTTTGCCTTAAAAAAAGAATGCATTAAACACTTCAATACTAACAAAGATTCAGTGCTCCCCAGACCACTGCAACACTTTGTTTTAGAGGGCTGTGACTTGCCTATTTTTCTTACCCGGCTCTCCAGGTCCCCATCTCAATAGCTGCCTTGCTACTTCACACATTACTCAGCACATCAACTCAGTCAACCAAAACATCCGTCACTGATACACGCACACCAGCCCACCATGACTAGGTTTCCACCTACCCTATACCCAGAGTCCGGGGGGGGGGAAGGGATTCAGAGTTGTGGCAGAGAAGGACCTCTGTTACACAGACTTCTCTTCAGATATCACCCAAAAGACCATACACAATAGGCCAAAAGGCATATTACCCAAGAAACACTATGTCAGGATAAGCTATAATAATTTGCTGAGGTCTCAAGATCACCAGATTTTACCATCTTGAAAGATTACATCAGTGAAACATTTAAAGCATTACAATTTCTATTCAAGTGGGTGCACAAATGAGAATACATCCTCAAGCAACCCAATTTTGCTTAAATACTTCAGCACAGAACAAAGGCAGAAAATGCATTTTCATACCTCTATGCTATCAAGATACAAGTTAACAACAGAGAACCTTAACCCTGAAATCTCCTGCTTTGGAACTTTAAAAATGAGAAAAGCCTTCTCAGAGTCCTTCCGTATTCTAAATATTAGTGGCTAACTCCTATCAGAAATAAAATAATAAATTCAACCTATTGTTAAGTCCATGACAAAATGTTTCCTGAAAGAAAAGCCATTAAAAAAAAGTGTTTGAAAAAACCAAAACAGTACAGTTGTATTGTTTATAAAAAAGTGATGTGCCTGACAGGATGGAGTTACTGGACTCTGCATTCACTCACCAAACTAAGAAACATTAATATCAGCACAATTTAAAACTTCCTCAAATATACAGGCAGGATTACCAGCCTCATTCTTACCCCAGAGTTCCCCGGCCTGACATGGGAGGACTCGGTGGTTTTTGTGTAGGCGGATTTGTTCTTGACAAGGTGCCAGTTCTTGCAGGCTGGTTACTTCCATGCTGAAATGAGGGGAAACATTATTTTATTTTTACCGATACAGCTCTACTATTGACAGTTATTTTGTTGTGTAAGAATATGAAATGAGGATTCCCAGACAGCTGTAAAACAGCAAGTTCTTTTAGCTGCACATAGAAAAAGCACCATTAAAAACAAGGATTAAAATGTGAGCTTTACATTGTCTCTGCTATTATTTTAAGATGGAGGCACATCTGAAACTTAAGTAATGGACAGGTAATAATTGATTCACGTGCAAAATTCTGTTTCCTTCTTTTCTTTGAAAGAATGTTGCAGCCATGTTCATGCCAATTCAAGTGTGATTATTTTAAATAAAAATTAAGGCTGACTGTACAATCTCATCTGGCTTTGACCAATATTCCTCATCCAGTTTTGCTCAGCTCTTTGACTAGCAGTCATGCAGATTGTCTGGGAAACCTCCTGTAAAAAAATGTAAGTGAATAGGATCAAGGCATCTACTGAATCAGAGCAAAGCACTAACACATGTTAGAGAAATTAATGTAACTAGATATAAATGCAAGTGTCAATATATCACTGATATATTAACACACCTCAGCTAATTGCTGCAAATCTGAACTGAAATACAGCATGTTTAAATCTAAAAAACCTATGAAAAGCAGAGCGGTATAGGAGAGCACTAGTTTTCAGTTTTAATGGTTCTGCAGCCTCTACTATCAAATACAGTGAGGCACTCTGGGTCAAATGAGAAATAACTCTTCTTACCTTGGCTTTTAGCCACTTAACGTTGGCAAAAAAGGGGGGAAAAAAGTAGAAATTAATGGCAAATCCATCACAACTGACAGGACAGATTAAAACTACAATTAATTACAAAAATTCAAATTTCCCTATTGATAATTAGCTACTACATTCCAGATACAATATATATGTAGGCTCAAAAGCAGGCACACAACATAAGCCATAATTAACTGGCACCCTCAAATTGAAATTTTACATTTATCAAAATTAAAAACAAAATTAAACTTTTCTACACTTATTTGCTGCTGCAATGAACAAAGATGCATGGAAGCAAACCTCTTCATGGCCAGCCAGTCTCACTCCTCCCCACTGCCAATCATGAGACTGTAAAGCCAGTTTAATGCGTTTGACTAACATTATCCAACTCCAACACTATGCTTACTAAAAAGTTCCAGTTCACATGCACACTGAACACTATATCACCTAGTGCAGAATATATTCAGTTTGACATTTAATCTCCATGTATTTTGGAAAACTTCTAGCTGCTGCACTGAATGATAGAAACAGATGAAGGGAGTTCTCATGTGTTACAAGCAGAGCCTTTCACCTCAACGTTACTGAGTGAAATGCAACCTAAATCAGTACTGTAGTACAATTTGCCAGCTCAAAATAATTGATACTATTAAACAGTCAGGGGTCAGGAGATTCCTAATCTTTATGAGGTTCTTAGTCTTCACGGTTGCAGAGAAAAACATTAAAACACGGCCTCACGTTACGCTTAAGGGGCCAGAAACAGAAGATAAATTTGAGGTTTCTTTAATAATTAAAAAAACTGGTGTTTTTGGAAGTCTAACCTAAAAGATAGCCAAGCCAATAACAACAAGAAGTTATCTGTTGAATTTCTGGAAGCAGACTAGCATTTTCTGTCCCTAGTATTAATGGTCCCTATTGTGACAAGAAAGTCACTACACAAATACGTACCCTTCCTGGTAGTTTCAGGAATAGTCAAGATATAGTAATAATGAATGTCCTAGATGTGGTCCTCCCAGAGTGGACTGAAATTTGTCATCAAATTGAAGTAGTTTATATCAGTGGTTCTCAACCCTTTTTGTACCAGGACCCATTTGTAAACATCAATGGCCAGTCCCAACCCAGTGGCCCTCACTCCCAACCCACTGTCCCCTGCCCCCCATTTGGGGTAGGGGGTGGGTGTGAGGAGCAGGTGGGGGAGGAGGGGTGTGGGATATGGGGGACTCCCAAGCAGCCTCTTGCAGGCTTGAACTCTGCTGGCCTGCAAGGGAAAAGGCTCTCTCACATTTTTATCCTTTAAAGAAGAATCCATTTTTTAAGTTTGTGACCCTTTCGCATATTCTTGCGATTTTACACTTTTTTTTCCATGAACCCCTTTTTTTTTTCCCCCCCCCACTTTTGGGGTGTGAACCACAGGTTGAGAAACACTGGTTTATACTACCCCTCCCTGCCCTAACATATCCGCTCTATAGGAAGAAAAGTAGGGGCTCCAGGACTGACTTGGTAGTTTGGTTTTTAATGCTCAATTTTTATTTTTTTTTTTAACATAACATCATAAAACCATTTATCAACAAGTTTGATTTCTTCACCTGTAGATTACATGCCCCTTCTCTATATTTTGCTAGCTGCTAAGGTCAATAGCATAAAGCAAGGAATTTTGCTGTTCAATGGATCAGAAAGTAAAATAACTAGTCTCCTTGGAAGCCATAGTTCATAACCTTTCAGCTAATGACTAAGAGAAAATATAGCATGTCAGACTCAGGATTCCTGCCCAACCTGTTTTAGCAGTTAAAGTCTTCCTCTCTCAACAAAGACATGAATGACATCAGTCATCCACACTGAGTCTTTGCTGCACCCCCTCTCTTTTTACTCTCCGCTATACTCTGCCTCCTTTGCAGCTCCAGAACAGATGCACTGTCAATTGCTGATGTAAAGTGCTGACTCTTCGGCTACAAAAACGTAGGGCCTTGTCTACTATACTTGCATATACTGTCCAGCAGTTCCTGGATTTTACTCCTAGTTCCGCCTGACTCACTATGTGACCTTAATCTTTGTTTTCTCGCCACAAAAGCATGATAATACTTCTACAACTTACAGGAGAGGTATGGAGAATTGTCACAGCGCCTTGAACAAGAAAAGCGCTAAGCATCCTCAGTACTCCGTTCACTCTGCTGCCGCTAATACAATGCAGGGTCACGTGGCTGGGAACGCAGAGAGAAAGAATACGAGGGAAACAAGAGACAGTCTAGTGGAATGGAAAGCCTGGTTCAGAAAGATGACAGGAGTAATTGGGGGGGAGGGGGGGGAGAAGTACAAATCAATTCCCACTGGCATGAAACATGTGGCTGCTTAACCACTGTTAGTTAATTAAGTGGGAAAAGGCATCATCATCTAGTATTATTTATTGGCTGGGCTGGGGGTGGGGGGCATGAAATCAATTTGTTAGCATTTTTTTTTTTTAATCAGGAACCCACTAATATTTGAATGCCACATCTCTTCAATCCCAAAGTTTCAGAGAACACTCTAGGCACAAATAACCAGAGCCCTGTTAGTCTAAAGGGAGGAAAAGAAAAAGTCAGGAAACCAAAAGGTAGAAAAATCAGATACCTGAAGCCCTTGCCATCCGTTTCATACAACCACAGAGTCAAGCTGCTCTGCGCTGATGAAACAGTTGGTTGATGGCACTAATTAACACCTTCCAACACACTATCCCACCTCCTCTTGGACTATCCTCCAACTGCAGTTTAAAACACCATCCTGAAGGATTTATTTGTCAGATAAACAGTGGTGAGGGCAAGAGAGAAGGGAACATTGATGTACATAAAGTCACAGCACCACACAGAGGCAACTACTCAACTTCTAGCTTTGGTTGTAATGTGTACAGAGCAGCATGGCTTGTTTTGGCATAGTGCTGCTTGGCATGGTAAAGTTAACCATAGAACCATTTCCTTAGAGAGAAAGGACAGAGTCCCTTCAAGTATGCAGCGTGTGAGGAAAGGTTCCCAGACCAAGGCTGTGCTGTCAAATCCCCTACCAAGCTGCCAAAACCTGACCTGCTGTTCACTAGACCTTTTACCTTCACAGAAATCTGTTGGCCTGTCCTCAGAGACCCTGTTGTTTAAATAGTGGATGCAAGAATAATCACAGACCAAGGATGATGCAAAAGGAAATCAGACCAATGAAGGCAGGATTAGATTTATTTTCAAGCTTTTGTGGTCTAGTGTTCAAGGGGATGGAGGACTGAGGCCTTTGATTGGCAATATTCTTCAACATGCCTTTAATTCCAAAAGTTCCCATTCTCAAGCAATGGTATAGGGGCATGTTCGTTGCAATGAAGGAAACCAGAATGCCACTGCTCAAATCATAACGTCTGGAAAAAAAACAGGAATTACATACTTGGTATGCTTCTCCCAAGTTGTGCAAATAACTGAATAAAAAGATACAAAAGCCCATTGTGTACAACACAGCTTTGGGATGGAGCCCTGCCCCGCTCCAGTCAACAAGAGTTTTAACCATCATGGTGAAAACAGGGCCAAAACTTCGGCCTGTAGAATAACTGCATCACAAGTACAGCGAGCAGGAACAACAGCTGAATTTAAAAAGTCAAATTCAGAGTGTATTGTACCACACCTGCTACTAAAAGCAGCTAAGACCATCCAATCTAAATACTGAACTAGACAAAAGTGACAAGTTTAAATGCTGTTAAAGATATGGCCCATGGAACAGTGTAATCTAGCTCATGGGGCCAGATATTTGGCAGTGGGGCTAGTGGTGCCAAATGTAAATTCCCATCATTCCCACAGCTGCAACCATCACTATTTCCCACCTGCAGACAGGCATGCAGGCCAGATGATACCTGGATCTGGCTGGTGGGGAGTTTCATAACAAGGTGAGCAGCAGCTGCCACAGCTCCATGAAACAGCAATTAACATTAGCACCCCTTTCCCCACTGCTGCATTTTCAGCTTCAGAGGCAGCCCTAAAGGCCCATAGACCAGCCCCATGCTGCTACTCCTGCTCTAAGGGAAACTGCAGCCAGCTCAGTCTACACTGATAACCAGTTTCCTTCACCACACAGGATTTTAGTACTTTTGTAACATAGACATATTAGTCAGCCTTAAATCCGATTACCCTTAACGAGAAAATAGTCACCAACTGAAGCAAAAAGGCATGACTGGTTTTGGTTGCTATTTGCTTAGCCTCCCTTTAAAAAGGGTGTTTTCCTTACTATTCAAGCAAAAATATATCTATCAGGTCCATGGCCTATGCAAAGGCCACTGGACTTGGGCTTGACACTTTTTGGAAACCCCTTCTATTATCACAGCAATGGCCAGAGAACTGAATTCTCCCAAAGACTTCTGAAACTTCCCTGAAGATCCTGCATATTTAGAGTCTTTCTACTTTAAGGTTAAGTAGATGGATCATTTTTAGATTATCAAAAGAACAGGTACTGGGAACTGGAAGGGAAGTCATAAGCTGCTATATGGGTACCATGGCATATGAGAGAAACAATAAATGCCTAAGAGCTGGCCTTGGGCAGCGGGGTTTAGGAAGGAGAAGAGGAGGGTATATGAATAACCCAGAAGTTAGATTTTTTTTGTGGGAGCCAGAAGTTCTGGATACACTTTCTGCAACTAACAGTGTAACTAAGCAAATAACTCTATTCTGGTATCAATGAAAATGAACCAAACCCTTCCCTCACTCAGAGGGTACAGCACAACTTAAAAAGGGCAGTGTCAGTTCCATGTAGGCTCTAAAACAAAATTTAACAGAACTGAATGAACATCGGCAGTAACCATAATATTCACTGAAAGCTATTTTTAGACTAGCAACTTCTCCCTGTATTATTTGCAGCCTAATAATTACAGACGCCTGTTAACACAGAGTAACCAGATGCAGACTATTAACAACCGATATGGACACTCATTGTTGTCCAAGCCAAGAAAGAAAAGCCAAGTCCATTTTTTTTTAAACTATTTCACTTTATTACTCTAAGCTCCTATTAGAATAGCA